ATCCACATACAACGTCATAAGCCAGCGACCTGAGTGGCCGTGCCCTGGTGAACCACCTAAGGCTCTACTCCTCACCCAGTGGAGCAAAACAGCAGAGGGGGCCTCCATTTCCCCACTCTGACCACACCCCCATATACAGCATCACAACCCAGCGACCTGGGAGTCCAAGGCTCCACTCCTCATACTTAACGGGCGCAAACAGACCAAAAATGGCTCAAGAAGATCTCAAAGCCCCAGAGCCTATAAATCTAAGCGATGAAGAAATAGCAAAACTCTCAGACACACAGTTTAAAACACTGGTGATCAGGATCCTCACAGAACTGGTTGATTATAGCCACAAATTAGAGAAACATATGAAGGCGAAACTAATAGAAACGAATGGAATTGCACAGGAAACCAATAGTAATGGAAAGGAAACTGGGACTCAAATCAATGGAGTGGACCAGAAGAAACCAAATAATGGCCAAACAGAAAAGAGTCAAGAAGCAAGAATTCAAAAAAACGAGGAGAGTCTTAAGAACCTCCAGTACATCTTTAAATGCTCCAACATCCAAATTATAGGGGTACCAGAAGGGGGAAAGGAACAGCCACCAGTGGAAAACTTATTTAAACAAATAATAAAGGAGAATTTCCCCCATCTGGCAAAGGAAATAGACTTCCAGAAAATCCAGGAAGCTCAGAGAGTCCCAAAGAAGTTGGACCCAAGAAGAAACACACCAAGGCACATCATCATTACATTAGCCAAGATTAAAATGAAGGAGAGAATCCTAGAAGCAGCAAGAGCTAAGGGGACAGTCATCTACAAAGGAGTTCCCATCAGACTGTCAGCTGATTTCTCAAAAGAGACCTTACAGGCAAGAAGGGGCTGGAAAGAAATATTCCAAGTCATGAAATCTAAAGGCCTACAACCAAGATTGCTCTACCCAGCAAAACTTTCATTTAGAATGGAAGGACAGATAAAGTGCTTCTAAGATAAGATCAAATTCAAGGAGTTCATCATCACCAAGCCCTTATTATATGAAATGTTAAAGGGACTTATCTAAGAAAAAGAAGTTAAAAAAACATGAACAGTGAAAGGACAGCAAACTCACAGTTATTAACAACCACACCTAAAACAAAAGCAAACTAAAAGGACAGCTAGATCAGGAGTGGAAACATAGAAATGAAGATCTAAAGGAGGGTTAGCAACAGGGGAGTGGGAGGAGTAGAAGAGGGGAGAAGGTACAGAAAATAAGTAGCATAGACAGTAGATAGAAAATAGATGGGGGGCAAGAATAGTATGGGAAATATAGAATCTAAAAAACTTGAGACACATGGTCATAAACTAAAGGGGGGGTAATGGTGGGGATGGGGGGTAGGGTGGAGGCGAATGAAGGGGGGAATAGAACAACTGTAATGGCATAATCAATAAAAAATAAATTTAAAAAAATTGAAAAAAAAACATTAAAAACTTTTTAGGACTTCCAGCCAAGATGGAGACGTAGGCAGACACACTTTGCCTCCTTGCACAACCAACAGAAGAACAACAAATTTAAAAACAAAAAACAACCAGAACTGCCAGAAAATTGAACTGTATAGAGGTCCAACAACCAAAAAGTTAAAGAAGAAACATTCATCGAGACCAATAGGAGGGGTGGAGATGGGCAGCCGGGCAGAGAGGACTTGTGGCAGGGCGGAGGCTGGCAGAGCCAGTGACCCCACATCTGCATGCAGATAAACTGGGAGGAACAACTGGGGAGCAAGACAGACCACACAACCCAGGGTTCCAGCACAGGAAAATAAAGCCTCAAACCTCTGACTGAAATTGCCTGTGGGGGTTAAGGTGGTGGGAGAAACTCCCAGCCTTACTGGGGAGTTCATTGGAGAGACCCCCAGGGTCCTAGAATGTACACAGACCCACCCACCTGGGAATCAGCACCAGATAGGCTCAATTCACTTGTGGGTAGCTAAGGAAGTGACTGAAAGCTGGCTGAGAGAGGAGCAAGCAGCACTGTTCCCTCTTGGACCCCTTCCCCACATACAATGAAGTGACATGTGATGCCCCACCCTGGTGAACATTTAAGGCTCTGCCCCTTACTGCATAACAGGTATGCCAAGACAAAGAAATTTGGCCCAAATGAAAGAATAGATCAAAGCTCCAGAAAAAAAACAGCTAAGCAGTGAAGAGATACCCAACCTATCAGATGCACAGTTCAAAACACTCGTAATCAGGATGTGCACAAAAATGGTGGAGTATGATCGCAAAATACAGGAAAATGTGAAGGCTATGGAGAGTGAAATAAAAGAAAATGCACAGTGAACCAATAGTTAAAAACTTTTTAGACATCAAAAAGGTCTATCAGTAGTGTGAAAAGGCACTCCCTAGAGTGGGGGTAAATATTTGCAAATCATCTATCGATAAGGGATTAATATCTAGAAGGTATAAAGAACAATTATTACTGCAAAACAAAACAAAACAACCTGATTAACACACAGGAAAAGGACTTGAATGGACATTTCACCAAAGAAAATGTACAAAAGACTAATAAGCACTTGAAAAGATGCTCGACATCACCAATCAGGAGGGAAGTGTCAGTCAAAACCACAATGAGATATCACTTGACACTCATTAGGATGGCTCTTAAAAAACAAACAAAAATAGTAAGCATTGTCCAGGATGTAGAGAAATTGGAACCCCTGTGCACTGCTGGTGGAAATGCAAAATGACGCAAGTGTTGTGGGAAACAGCATGGAGATTCCTCAAAAAACTAAGCATAGAATTACTACCTTATGATCCAGCAACTCCACTTTTGGATATATACTCAATTGCATTAGAAGGAGAGACACAAAGAGATGTTTGTTCACCATGCCCATGACATCATTATTACAAATAGCCAAAAAGTGCAAGCAACCCAAGTGTCCATTAACAGAGAAATGGATAAACACAATGTTCTGTAGATATACCATGGTGGAATATTATTCAGCCTTTAAAAAGCAATAAAACTCTAATATATGCTTTAAAACATTACATGAAGTGCAATTACATTACATGAAGCACAATCAAGATGTTCCAGGATTCCACTCATATAAGGTACCTGAACTAGCCAAACTCATAGAGACAGAAAATAGAATAGAGGCTCCAGGGCTGGGGAAGTAGGGGATGGAGAATTGCTGTTTAATTGCTACAGAATTTCAGTTCGAGGTGGATGGTGGTAATGGTTGCAGAGCAACCACAAAGTAAGTAATGTCACTTAAAAATGATAAAAGTGGTAAAGGTATATTATGTACATTTTAGTGCAATAGGAAATATCTCCTCTTAAAAAGATCACTGAACTGATTATTTAGAGAGTGAGTACTAAGCCACTCTGCCATGGGCCATTATCCTCAGTTTTCAGATTTAATCTTCATAGTCATTGTCTCATGTCACAAATGTGAGAGTCATGTTTGGGAGGATTTGTACCAATCGCCTTGGGTGCCAACAACAGTAACATTTACCATTCATGGCTTGTCTGTCAGGCGATGAGGTGATTGTATTAATTATCTTAAAGCCTCGATATAACTTATGAAGGAAACGTTATTGTCCTGGGGCTTAGTGGTTCTGTAACTTATCTATTGTTAAATAGTTCACCGTGCTCTTCTCTTGGGCCTGTCGCTGCTCCTAGAGTGGTGGTGGGGAATAAACAGGAGGTGGGAGGGGGAGGGTGGTGGGACAGACAGACGGATGTTTCTCCTAAGAATTATTTGTTTGTGTGCATGGCGGGCAGAGAGAATCATTTCAATTTCTTTGTAAGTAAACAAAACTGACCTGGTCTTTTATCCATCATTCCATTTTTTTTTTTCTAAATAAACCACTGGGAAATGAACCCAGGAGCTACCATGGTGCCAGATGTGTGTGGTGCCCCAGGGCATGCGCAAAGAACCCTGGGGGAGACAGCAGTGAACAGCTGGGCAAGGACATGGACCCGCACCTCAGAGTTATTAGCTGGCAGGTATGTGTTGTCTGTCTACCACACGGTCAGCAGAATAAATAAGCAACTTAAGTTTTCAGTACAAAAAGGGAAACATGAAGCAATACCCTTTTCTATTCTTTCCTATTAGGCCCAAGGGAACATGAATGTTCATCCAGCTTCTCCAGGTTCTTCTGATAATGAACGGGGTGCAGTGCAATGGGCTGAATGTCTGGACAGCACTTTGGAGGACTCTTGGCCTCACATGTCCCTTTCCTTGAATTTTTGGGGTGCCTTGGCAGAGAGCATGAGAGGCAGGGGGGCAGATATACTCCACCAAACTAGAACTTGCCTTCTCAGGAGTCCGCTTCTCCCAACCACAGTCCGGGCCGAGCCCTGTCCTGCTCCGCAGGCGGGAGGTCCTCATCACTCATCTGAGTGTTGGTGCGCACCCAGCATCCTCATGCTTCCTGGTCCACTCAGCTTTCGAAAGGCAGGGAGTTCTCTAGGGTTCTCCTGGCTATTTCATACCCTAACGGACCCAGCACCTGTATTTTTAGAGGATCATCTCTATAACAGACCTAATATACTAAAATGCATCCCATATCTAATAACCTTTTCCCGTGTTGTTAAAAAACTTGAAATTTACAAAATTAAAAAAATTTGTTTGCCAACTTTATTTACTGTAATCTCTCAGCAATCATGTACATTCTTGAGAATTTCCAGAGTGAGAAAAACTAGTTTCCATTGTTTAATAAGTGCATGAAATATTTATTCATGAATGAGAATGACAATTAATGGACTCAACGTGATACATGCTGTTGACATTTAATTAAACATTTATCACCTTAGATTTTGCATTTTTCCTTTTGTATTTTGAGCCTTTCTTTTTTCCTTCCCTCCCTCCCCCTTTTCTTTCTGTCCTTCCTTTTTTTCTTTCATTCTTTCAGTTATCAGATCTTTTCAAAGATCTCAGGCCTTAACTCCCATGCTAGCCAATGGATAAAACAGTGCAACCAGTCCCTTCAAAGTTTCTTATGTGTAGCTTTGTTTTATAAAACTCATAAGAGTAGGTATATGACCCATTAAGTTGGATCATATAAATCACTGTTTTCACTTCTGTCTCTCTCTTTTTTTTTTGGTAAAGCATGACAATTTAATCTATTTGGTTACAAATCCAATAGACTTTTTTCTGTGGACAGGTAGCGTTAAACTGGAGAGCTAAGACCAATGAGCAGGGGCTGTGTCTGTGATAGGTGCTCTGTGAGGATTTGCCCAGTGAATGAATGCATGCACATACAAATTAAGGACCAAAAAAGATGAAACTAAATAAACAGAAACGAAACTCCATGGCACAGACTGTGGTTGTGGAACTAGCAGAATACATTAGTCCTACAAAGCACTTTGGCAATTGCTTTAGTCTTTTTAACCAACATTCTCTTTTCAATTTAATTTTGTTTTGTTAGCAAGAGATTGGCATTGCTTGTGGGAGCAAGCAGGCCTCACTGCTGCCTCTTCTCCTTAGTGAAAAGAAAAATGGAAATATCACAGGAGTTGAAGGAGGAAAAGAAGCATCATGGCTCTAAGAGAGGAGACTGCAGAGGTTGGTAGAAACTTCGTGAAGCATGTCGCTTTCCATTTGGCAGCAAGGACGATCCCCATGGGCAGCACCTTCACTCGAAATCCTGGTGTTCCTGAGCTTTTCCCTTCCCTGTGATCCCAGAGAAGCCGACAACTCTTTTCTCTCCAAGTGACAATTCTAGAGAAAACAGAGGATTATCCAACCTTAGGGATTCATAGGACTTCAACTTTGGGTCCATCTACCCATCCATTTACTGATCCCCTTCAGCCTGTTGTATACCGTGATGTGCCAGATTCTGTCTAGGTGCTGGGAAGAGGATAATATTTAAGACACCAGACACATTTCCAAACTAGAGGGGATATTCACCTTGTGTAGGGAGAGTAAATGCGACTAGTGATAGAAGCAAAAACGGGTAGGAAATGCAGGTCTTGTGCACCAATAGCATAGTTTTGGGGAGAATACAAGTGCTTTTTGGATTGCAAAGCATCAGGTTGACACTTAAGATAAATGACACGCAGAACTGTCAGATTAAGTAGCCCCCAAATACGTGGTATTGTCCCTAATGATACAAATCATTTGTTCTCACCTGGAGAAGATTTTCGTTTACTGATTTCACAGGCAACTCCCTCAAATGTGAGTGGGCAAGTACACACGCATTTTCCGTCCAGCAGAAGCACAGTGCCCCCGTTTTGGCATGGCTGGCATTTTTTTGCACTGTATTCATTGACATAATCTTCAACGGCTCTTTCTAAATTTTCTTTCTTTTGGTCTGCACCTTTTATTGTCAGTGGAATCAGATTATATATAGGAGACAGCTGCAAGAAAGCAAAACATTTAATTTTAGGTATTTTTCTACTGATGGAGTTTCTAACATTCTTCACAGAATTAATTGTTCATTAATCAATGAATTTGGCAAAGGCTTAGTGAAGGATGGTTATTGCCAGATATCATTTTAACCTTTAAGACTATACTGATGACGAAAGTTAGTCATGCTCTCTCTGGTCATGGACAAGACATTATGGAAGTAAGGAAACTGGTATTAAAATAATCATATAGATACATTTAAATGGGAACTACAGTATTGCTGTAAAGGATGGGTGTATATGTTTTAAAAATGAACAATCATGGATTTAAGCTTTTGGCAGTATAATTTATTGCTATACTATTTTCTGAGGTATTTTTGTGTTTCCCTCTCCTCTCCTCTTTCAGAATATAGCCAGGTGTTTGTCTTGTTTAAGAGGAAGGTCGTCTGCAAGGCCAAGTCCAGAATGCCCTGAAAGTCAACTCTTTATTGACGTATTGCTCCAAAAGCTTGAACTCATGGGGAAACTTTTGCTGGGAAAAGTATGAGAAGAATGCCAGCGAAGGAGGAAGGTCTTCTAGACCAGGAAGGGGACAAAGTTAGCGTGTACCTCAGGTAGCAGGAAAGCATCATTAGATCCCTACCAGTTATTTTGGCCTGGAAGGCAGGGAACCACCTGAGTTCAGGTGAGCACATGAATGCAATCAACAAGATTGTCAGGGTGATCACAGTGGACTGTACACATACAGATCTCACATTCCCATTTCCCCAACAGAAGCATCAGGATTCTTGTATTAATTTCAACAACAAGGAAGAACTTCCCTGAACTCCATCCAACACATGAATGAAGGATAAATTTTCCTTCCTTCATGGAGGGCTGGGATCTCAAAGTCAAATTTAATTACATTTAAAGAAAATGAAGTAAAATGATTTATTCTGCACACTTAAATTTCTGGAGTAAGACTCAAAGTTGCTACAACTGAATCAGGGAAACTTGGACAAGCTTTCCTGAGAAAATGACTATTGAGCTGAAATTTGAAGATGTTAAGCAAGAAAGAAGAGTATTGTAGTCAAACAGTGCAAAATTCAAAAAGTTTGTATAGTGGAGATACACTTGCTTCTTGGCCTTTAGGCTAAGATCAAGTGCCTAATGGAGGTATTATAACATATATGAAAACTTGGAACATATGTCCATTAAATGTAAGCAAATTTAATTGTGTGAGTATAAATAGCTGTTTGAGTGACAGAATTGTAACAAAGCGAGGCCCTTTGGTGGCATAGCACTTTGAAACCAGAGACCCCCAAATTTAAAAGAAAGTGGAACCTAAAGATTCAACAAAGAATATATACCAGGAATTCCTGCAGAAGAGTAATGATGGGGTAAATACTGTCGACTAATCCTTTTACTAGGCACAAGGAGAAAGCTGAACAAAATGAAAAACCTGCTTGAAGGCCCTGGAGGACAAATGAGGTAACAAAAAAGTGACAAGGTAATAAAGATCTGGGAGGTGATGGAAATCCAGTGAGAATGAGCCCAGTGTTTCCGGGCCACCAGTCCCCTGGGCATATTTCCTAACTGAGGAGGAGGCAGTCAGATGGCTAAGTGGCAGACAAAACGTATTACTGGACTCAGTGGGTAAAGGTTGGAATTCAGGACTGACAAAGGGTCCCAACCCAAAGGACTACAGTCCTAGAAGCAAGAGGCAAGTGGAAGTAGCGTAGCTCTGGTAAAGACTGCATCCTGGTGTGGGTGCACCACACTTAAAAAAAAAAAGGATTAAAAAAAAATCCTGATTTAATCCTTTAAATCCTTTAATCAGGATTAAAAAAATCCTGATTTATTAGTACTCTGAAGCTTTCCAGTTTTAAATATATATTTCCTTGGGAGGAAAATAAAATCATCTCAGGTCTCATGCTACTTCTATAACAATATTTAAAGTACAATCTCCAGCCCACAGTAAAAATAACCAGGTGCACAAAAAAACTAAAGCAGCATGATTGAAAAACGTAGAAATAATAGAAATTGGAGGGATTAGCCAAAGATAATGGGAACATCCATAATGGTGTCAACAATAAAAATAAAGTAAAAGAAATACTAGAAACTGGAGACAAAGTGGGGAGGGGGATGAGCAGATATAAGTTATCAGACATAGATTTTAAAATAACTTCCTAAGCAGGGGGATAAGGCCAGCTTGCAAATGTTAGCAGAGAACAGGAAATTCTTTTTTCAAATGGGAGGTCTGGAAAAATAAGCAGATACAGGAGAACTTGATACTACAATAAACAAATCAATGCACCGGTTTAAAGGCAGATGTGGCACAAATGAAGGAAAGTTAGTGACCTGGATGGAATGCAGATCGGAAGAAAAATTATTGACCATAAAGTAATGAAAGACAAAAGTTTGGGAAATCCAGAAAAAAGGCAGAAAACATAAAAAAGTGAGAAGGTAAGAGATGTATATAATTTGAGTCCCAGAAAGAGGGAATATATAAAAAGAAATTTTGAAGACCAGTGGCTGAGGATACTACAGATGTGGTGACAAACATCAAGATACCCCCGTAATGAAGAGCAAGATTAAACATTTTTCTTTTTGCACTTAGGCACATCAGAGGAAAATTGTTAAAAAAATCAGGAAAACCCACAAACAATGATAATGAAGAAAACCTTAAAAGCAGCTTAGTAAAAACCCTCAGTACTTTGAAAGTAGAGTGACATTTGATTTTCATAAATATAAAAATATGCCACCAATCAGAAATACAATTTAAATTGTTCTAGAATAAAGAGATAACTATAGGACATTTTTTAAAGTAACTTTCTAACTTATAACACACACACACATACACACACACACACACAAAATAACTCTAGACTTATTGTAGGTAAAAATATAAAAGCAAAACAGTAAAGTGTCTGAAGGTAACATATAGGAGAGCATCTTTAAGACCTTGAGGTAGAGAATGACTTTAAACAGAACACAAAAGCACTAACTGTAATGAAAAGAAATATACATTTAACTATATCAAAATTTAAAAAATCAATGTGATAATTCCTGATATCAGGCACTGAGAAGGACACAACATTGCTTTGGGGGTCTTCTTGCCAAAAATACACAACCTTAATCTACTCTGAGCCTCAACTGAGAGGCATTTGATACCAGTGACCAATACTCATCAAAAGTGTTCAGGTAATGAAAGACAAGAAAAGTCTGAGGAATTGTCACAGATTGGAGGAGACTAGAGGGACATGACCACTAAATGCAGCGTGAGATCCTGATTGGATCCTGGAACAGAAAAAAGGACAATAGGGGAAAACTGGTGATATTTAAATAGGTCTATGGTTTAGTCAACATGAATGTTCTGAGTTTGCTAAAAGGCACCATGGTTATGTAAGTTGTTAACATTTGGGCTCCTGGCTATAGAGTCTATGTGAGCTCCGTGCTGTTTTTGCAGTTGTCATGGCTGCACTATTTGTGCAATTTTATGTATTTTAAACTAAAAAGTAAAAAAGAGGACATTGATTATGAAAAATACCATTAATGGGTGAAAGTCCTCAAGTGAGAGAAGACATTTCTAACACTTCCATGTAGAATAGTCTCATATCAAGAATATGCTAAGAACTTCTACAAAGTCAATGACTGTCCGCCAGTATAGCCCTTTATGGATTAGTGCATAGGATATGAATTTCAGCTATGTCGTATTTACTTGGAAGAAAGAAACCACTTACCAACATTGCCACATTGGCACAAACAATGTAAGCATGTGGTGGAGTTCTTTTGATTTTTAAGAATAGAAATTCATCTTGTTTTACCCTTCAAAGGAAAGCCAAGGCAAGATAGTCTAAGATATAGGAATAGGGGGTCACGGAGACAACACAGTCTGGATGAGATGCATAAACAGTGTTCAGAGAGGTCAAGATGAAGGACACGTAATGACGGCAGCTTCAGAGGAACCTCAAACCCCAGAGCCAAGGAATCCCACAGGAGGACAAACAGCAGTTCCAATGGACTTTGTAAAGTTTTTCTGAAGAGCCCCATCTTTTTCTGCTGAACTCTGGCCTTCTGTTAAGAAAATACTCACAAAAATTTCTCCTATTCTCACTAACCCTATCGTTCTACCATTTGTGGGTAAATACCATATTTTCAGTGAATGTAGTTGATTGTGAAACTTGCTAAAAGACCATATAGTTTAATATTAAGTACTTGGGATATTACATTAAGTATTATATTATTATACTAAGTGTAGAGGTTTCTTATGGGCTTGCAAACTAATTAAAGTATATGTACCAAATGTAGTTTGTTGATAGGATGAGTTATTTCCATCCCTATACAAGAACATTGGGAAGGATTTTCACTCTGTGGTTAGAACTATAATGACTGGGGCACCGAGCACTGTAGCCCTTTAAAATACTGATGCTCTTCAACACTTGGAGCACCATTGTCAAGTTGCACAATATAACAAAAAATCATAGGTTAATGGGTTCATAATGACCCAAGTTGTTCCAGAAAGACATGTAGGTAGATAAGAATGGTGGAGGGCAAAGAAAAAAGAACTGAGAATAGAAAAGGCATGATGAAGGAAAAAGCAACACATAGGCCCCAAATTCAGGAGAACCCACCCATTTGCACATGGTGGGTCACAAATTTGGTCGCAGATTTTCTAGCTCATTGGGACAGACAACTGAATTTAATGATCACATGCATTTAAAAAAAGAACTTCCTGATTCCTGAGAGAAGCAAAATGATCCTTGTAACTGAGGTTAAAGAGTAATATATCCCCTGAGTTTTCACAGAGGAGACCTTATGAACTTCCCTTCCTAAGGCCTTAATAAATACTTCTCTGTGTCAGAAGTGGTAGTGGGGTGCCACCCAGAGACGAGGACAACCAAGGGCAGATAGAAGACAACTAACAATTTCTGAGCATCTATTTTGTGCCAGTCTGTGCTACAGGCTCTGTATGCGCAATCTTATTCAATCCTTAAAAGAAACCCAGAGCCCTGGAGACTTTAGTGTTGCAGAAGTCAGAAATGACCACTCAACTGGTGAGGGACAGAGACCCAAGCTCAGCTTGGGTGGGCCTGATGCCCCCCACTCTGTGCCTTTCCTCTCTGCCATGCTTCTTTCTGGGGACAAGATGGGCAGGCATTTGAATGCTCACATGTCTTTCAGATAAAAGAACTGCTCATTTTAACCCACAGTTACATGTCATAAGAGAAGGGCAAAATCTTCTATTTGAAAATACACATTCCTCACCCTTTCATTTATGAGCACTGGAGCATCACTTAAGGAAGATGCCCAATTTACAAAGTCAGTCACATCCACCATTTTGGCTCCTCGGAGAAGCTTCTCCTTCAGCTGAAGGGCATATTGTTTGGTTCCTCCTCTGATGAGTGAAATCACATCATCGATGATGCTCTCGCTGGTGATGTTTACTGAGAGGAGACAGAGAATGTAAGTCAGGGATTTTTCATTCTGTGATACTTGGTAAACATTTATTGAGCCCCTTTTGTATAGTCTAATGTATTTATTGAATTTTGCTTATAAGTATTATGTATGCAACTTTTTCAGCCCAAATCTCCAAGGGCAATTTTTATTAGTAGTTGATTGTAGACTTCATCATCTTTTTCTTAAAAAAATGGTACCATGACTGAGATACATAGGTAATTCAAAGCACATATGAGAACTAAACATGAATTTAAATGTACTATGTAATATTTTCTGTTGCAGAATTGCCTTCATAATTATATTTTATATTGGTTTGCCTTAAATTATTTTACTAGTATAAAAAATCAAAGGGCACAAAAAATTAAGTGAAAAGCAAAATTGCTTTCTACTCCAAATGCCTACCCATTTTCTCCCCCAGTCTTTCTCTCCAGACTAAACCACTTTTTAACAAACTTTTGCAAATCTCTTAGACTTCTGAATTTTTTGAGCTAGAAAAAATTTTCAAGGTGATTTTTTTTAACCTTCCTCAATTTTGTGGACAAGAAAGCTGAGGCTCAGAGAGTCAGAATGACTAGCCCAAGTCACACAGTTAGTTTAAGGGTCAAACATTGAAATTATGACATGTGATGGAAAGGTCAGTTTTCTTTTCCATTCATCGGCGGTTTTCCATTGTGGCTGCGTGTTAGCGGTTGCTGTGCTTTAAGAAAACCAGGCTTTTCTGTTTTCTGCTTCCTCACTACCTGCAAAGGTGAATCTTAAACACCTGTGTTTCAGAAAATGCTCTCAGGTTTTTCTGATTAGAGTAAAACTTGAGAATTCCAGCATTGCCTCATGAACAATGGAAGTAATATTTATATTAAATATATTAGTGTTTTTAAAAGGCTTATGAACCGATTTAATGTTAAGCATGGATTAGGGATTTTTTTTCAGTTTTGTTGAAATATAATTGACACACAACATTGTATCAATTTAATGGGTATATCATAATGGCTTGACCTAAGTGTATTGTAAAATAATTACCCAAATAAATTTATTTGACATACATCATATCATATAGTTACAATTTTTTGTGTGTGATGTGAACTTTTAGGATCTACTCTCTTAGGAACTTTCAAATATAGCCCTAACATTGTTAATTATGTATAGTCATCATGTCCACTCTCTTAGGAACTTTCAAATATACCACATAACATGGTTAATTATGTATAATCACCATGTCATACGTTACATCTCTGTACTCATTTCTCTTAAAATTGTAAGTTTGTAGCGCTTGACTAACTGAGTGAAGGTAGATTAGGGACTTCAAGTCAGGTGGAAGGCTGAGTTAGAAAGAAAGTTTTGGTCTTCTTTCTTAACATACAGTACTGTCACTTGCCCTTTTAGAAGCTTAGTTAAAATTAGAGAAAAAAAGAAAATTATTTCCTCAAAATATTATTCTACCATTGCTATCACAAATGCACAATCTGTCATGACTACAGAGGGAACAGCCCCCCTGGAACTGGGCACTGCACAGCCTGCACAGTGATAGTGCTGGGAGCACATGTCCTTGGGTCCCTTGTGTTTATAGCAATTTGGGAACCACTGTGAAGAGAGAACAGTTTTTCAGCACTTCTGTATTTTTTTAAATAAAGAGGGTGGACAATAAGTGGGCTCATAGTGATAGGGCAGTGCTAATTGATCTTTCCCTCCCTCCCTCCCTCCCTCCCTCCCTCCCTCCCTCCCTCCCTCCCTCCCTCCCTCCCTCCCTCCCTTCCTTCCTTCCTTCCTTCCTTCCTTCCTTCCTTCCTTCCTTCCTTCCTTCCTTCCTTCCTTCCTTCCTATATAGAGGGAAGGAGGGAGAAAGAGAAAGAGAGAAACATCTATCTGTTGCCTCTTGCACATCTGCAACTGGGGACATGTCCCACAACCCAGGCATGTGTCCTGACCAGGAACTGAACTGATGACCCTTCAGTTTGTAGGTCAGCACTCAGTCCACTAAGCCACACTAGCCAGTACCCCCTATTTTTTAACTTAATAAGTTAGGCCATACTTACCAGTTCGACCATCACCCCTCTTTACACAATCACTTTTATGAACCTGTCCTCCGAGTTCAACTCCAACATTCAGAGATACATCCAAATGATACCCGAGACATCTCTTTACATCCTCTAGTTCAATACCTGTTTAATATATTTAGTTGACAATTATTAGATAATATCTAACAATATTATAAATAAATGCCAGTTTTGCTCTTTTGTAAGGAACACACTTGGATTTCTATGCATTTTTATTAAATACAAATGCATGTCATGTCTCTCCCACTTTGTCCACATTCTTAGTTCTAGTGGCCTCCTTTTGACTCTGCTTGTCGACTTCATGGCAAAGGACATATAAACTTACCTCTTGTGGAAAAGGGAGATGGCTCATATGGGGGTGGTTACGTTATTATATGTAATTAGCTAGTTATAAATAAGGGAAGGGTGCAAATGGAATCAGACATTAAGCCAAATAAACTAGGAAGCTGAATCAGATATTAAACCTAATCTATTAGGGAGCTAAGTCAGACATTAACCCTCATTCACTAGGAAGCCACAGCATTCACAGTCTCTCCAAGGGGCAGCCACAGCATCCTCCTCCAAGGGGACATGATCCTTGAATTTGGCAGGAAGAACCCATTACTGTCATTAACTGGGATTACCTAGGGAAGCGTCAGAACATCAGGGGAAGTTCCTTTGCTCAGTGCACAGGCAATAGAAAGCAGCCGGTGCAACAGAACTGTGGGGCATGTGCGGGGGGAGCCAAAATGGTGACATAAAAGGGCAGATCTGGGGAAAGGACTGGACTGAGTGAGGGTGTGGAACCCCAGAAGGTCCAGGAAAAGAATTCATTTAGGGGGAGAGCGGCACAAGCCTGGGAAAACCCAGGAAGTAGGTTGGGTAGTGTGAAGGCAAGCCTGCTCATTTTCCAAAACCAAGAAACTATATGGAGGATTCTCAAGGATCTTGGAGCAGTTGCTCCTGGAGCCTGCCCGCACCTCCCACATCCCTGAGGACATAGCATTTCCCTTCACCCCATGCAGTTTTCCACTATGCTTAAACTTCTCCCATGTGTGCACCCTTTGACATTCCTTTCTTGTGTTTTCACCAGCGATGACAGTTATAGTTCTAAGATGAAAAATTTTAGCCCTTGGAGCTTTTCCATCCCCAAATTTGTAGCCTGAAGGGTTTCTTATGTTTTGATCACCCCTGTTGAGCCTTTTTCTTCTGGTTTTCAAGTTACTCAAGACACAGTGCTCACGTGCCTCTGACCCCCTGATAGCTGTCAGTGCAGCCTACCAGGTGGTGCTCAGAGATCTGGTAATGCCATTTTGCAGGCTTGAGCCCTGGGAGGTGGTCTAAGGGTTCTAAGGGTAAGTAACTGCATATTTCCCTTCCCCAGGTTTCTTCTGCCTGCCCAAACTAGACTGAGGCATTAAGAGCAACTGGTTCTGGCTATGACATATTTATTTCATTCATAGTGTGTTTACCAACAGCAGGGACAATGTTTGGTTTTAAGATGAGAGATGTATCCCATTTTTCACCTTATACTGCCAGGGACTCCAGAGAAGGAGCCCTGGAAATAGTTTTGGTTAACACCTCTCTTTCTCAGAGATGCACTCCCAAATTTTGAGGGCAGAGAGAGGAGATATGTTGATATCGATCATCTCTTTAAGAAATATAACAACTTGCCATATTGGTAAAATAAATAAATAAAACTTATTAACAAGTCTTTTGCATCTACTTAAAAGCTTTGTCTTTAAAAGCTTTCAGTAAAGCCTTTGGGCCAGGATGGCAATTACGCAACACACAGGACTAACCTGTACCTACGGCAAACACAGATGAGCAACTGTGGCCTTCCTTCTATGACTTCAGGTGTGATAGGAAGCTACCACTGTATGATTGGAATTGTCATCCTACAAGGTAAAACTCATTTTCTACCCTGGCTTTACATGTTAGATGTATATGATGTTAACATTCTTTCCTCCCAATACTGCAGAATGCTTTGGAAGAAAATTATCACATTTGGTAGCCTGGCTCAATTTCTATATGTAATAATTGAACCAGGCTACTGAATAAGAAATATATAAATTATGTCTCTTGTACTTTCTTTCACCTTTTAAATAGGACTTCACTAAAAGCAATTTTACCAAATATTATTAAATAGCAATACAATTTCTGTTGCTGACTAGTTCAAGACCAAGTCCTCTTGTTTGAGGTAGAAATCAGTTTGCTGTTTGATAGGGTTTTAGATGCCAAAGGTCAGGGAGAATGTTCTCTCAGGGAAGCGGGTTACATTACTCTATTCTAGAGACTTTAACCATTGAAAGAGGTTAGCAATAGAAATAATGGTTGGTTAAAACATTATCAGAAGTTAGAACACTATTTCTAGGTATACCTTTTTCCTTCATGGTAGCTCTATCCAAAACATATATTAGTTCATATAGTCCTCCTAGAGACCCAGAGCTACTGTAGTGAGTTCCGTAGATTTCCAAAAATGCAAAATATTCCCCCTTTTCATAGGTGGTTGGCAGGTTTTTTAAATCATCCAAGAAGGTTGACGTCAGCACAACATTCCGGCTTCTCATCACAAATCTTCCCAGATTAACTTCTCCTTTCACACGCAGAAACATTTTTCCCTTTGTGGTAGACCAGAAAAAAAATGTGAGTTTAAGCAGTATTGTTTCAAATGTAAAAATCACAAAACTGGAAACTTTCACAGGTGGTACATTTCTTTAGCAGTGACTGTATGACATCACGTTAACCCTGTAGAATGGCAAACTTCAATGGCCGTTAACAGCACTGTTGATGAAGATGTACAGCAGCTAGGACCCTCTCACACATTGCTGGTGGGAGTGGAAAATGGTGTAACCACTTTGGAGGACTGTTTGAGTTTCTTATAAAAGTAAACACACAGCAACCCTATGGCCAGCAATCCCACTTTTACATATTTATTTAAGATAAAACAAATTGTCCACAGAAAGAGCTGTAGAAGACTGTTATAGCAGCTTTAGTCAGCATAGCTGAAAATTGGAAATGACTCAAATGTTCATCAACAGGGAAATTAATAAACAAGCTGTAGTATATTCACATGAAGAAATACCAGTCAGCAATAAAAAGAAATGAACTACTGATAACATACAACAACATAGGTAAATAAAAAATATTATGCTGACTGTATTAAGTCAGAGACAAAAGAATATATACTGTATGGTTCCATTTTTATGAAGTTCTAGAACAGCTGAAACTAACTTATGGTCAGAGAACTCTCATCGTTTGTCGCCTCTCAGGTGACAGGGGATTGACTGCAAGGGGCCTGAAGGAATTTCTTGAGGTCATGGAAATGTGCTACATCTTCTCTGAGGGGGTAGTTACACAGATGGATACAATAGTCAGAACTCGTGGAATTACACGCTTAAAATCTTTGCATTTTATTGTATGCAAATGATACCTCACTTAGTTGATTTTAAAATGTGAACAATGGAAGGAAATGTAGACATTACATGTGAAGCCCAATCTTTTTATTTTGCAGATGAAGAAACAGATCAAAAGGTATCAAGTTATTGGCTCTAGATGACACAAATAGCCTGTGACAACCATTGGTACTAAAAACCTGTCAGGTGTCCCTCTTCCTTTTACTATGTCCTCTCGATCATTGGTAACTGAGATGAAATAGACAGTATTTCAAGACATGGATCTCAAGCCAACCTAACACAGCTCAACAGTTAAGTGTTCCCCAGGCTGATGGCTCACATGACTAAGAAAAAACTGGTGCAGTGATGAACTATGTGACTAAATCTAGACTGTCCTAGCCACAACTGAATTGAAATTGTCACCTGTAATTCTGTATATTATTCTTTAGAAATTCTCCTGCTGTATCTGTGGTTGGCACATGCTAGTTACATGGGAGTTAAAAGCACTATATTATTTTTTAAAAGGTATGTCTCAGTGTATGTGAACATCACACCAAACTTTCCATATGATAGAAACACAATTAGTCACACTACGTGACTTAACTGCAGGTGATAGTGGGTGATTTGGTTTCTAACAAAAATCCTAAAGAGACTTACTGCACATATACTAAGTCATATGAGTTCTCCAGCTGATGACTTGCATAATAATTCTCAGTGAAGTCTCAAAGATGCCCAAAACATATTTGGATTCCTTTGCATGTTGCTAAAATTGTCAGAAAGATGTTATGTTCTTTGGCTGAACTTACTTTGGAGATAGACCTTCGGTCATTCCTACTCAAACATCCTGCAGTTTCTTCAAGCTACAGAAATTTACAAAAATCTCTTGACCTCTCTTATCCAAACACTGCTACTTGTTTCTTTGTCCTTGTTAAAAGCAAAATTTTCTTACAGAGCTTTCTGTACCATCTGTTTCCAGTTCTCCTTCTAGTTTCTCTTAAATCTAACCCAGTCCTGCCACTGTCCTTACAACCCTGCCAAAACTTCTCTTGTCAAGCTCACCAATGACCTTCAAAAGGCTAAAGCCGGTGGCTTCTCTGACATAAATGTTAGCATGCTGGACACAGTTTCCCACTCCTTTCTTCTTGGTATGGTTTCTTTTCTTGTCTTCTAGGGCAGCCCCTCTCAGACCGTCAAGTGTGAACAAGTCACCTAGAGAATCTTGTTAAAATGCAGTTCTGATTCAGTAGGTCTGGGGTCAGAGCCTCTACTTCTAGTTGCCCAGGGATGTAGGTGCTGCTGGCCCATGGAGCACCCTTTGACTAGCAGGGTTCTAGGACATTCCACTAGCTGCCTCTTGCTTTCCTTTGCTGCTTCCTGTTCTTTCTTCAGGCTTTCTATTGGAGTTTCTTGGGTTTAGTCTTTGAACTTCTTCTCTTTTCTATGTATATTTACTCTTAGTGGGCTCACCAAGCCCTATGGCTTGAAGCACCATCTACATACAATGACTCCCAAATTTGTAGCTTGGGCCCAGACCTGTTACCCAAACTCCAGAATCAAAACACCAACTTTCTGCTTGACATCTCCAATGGGAGGTCCAATGGACATCTCACCCTTAATTGAACTAACACTTAACCCTGGGGTTCTCTTCCAAACTTGCTCTACCTGAGGTCATCTCCACCTTAAGTTGACAGCAATGCCATCTTCCAGTGGCTCAGGCCCAACACCTTAGACTCGTGTTTGACTCTATGACTCTCCTGCTTCAAGTACCATAGTCTCTTGCCTAGATTCCTGCAATAACTCTTCACGAGCCTTCTTGCTTTTGCTGTTAACTCTCACAATCTCTTCTTAATGGAGTACCAAGAGCAATCATTTAAAATAGATTAGGATCTATCAATATTCTCTGAAAGCCATTTCAGTGACCTCTCCTGTCACTTAGAGAAAAACAAATGCTTAGAACAGGCTGTGAGGCCCTTCATGATCTGGTTCAAGGGAACCTCTCTAACTTCTCCTTTTGGTTCACTTTGGCCCAGTGGGCAGGTGTATTCCTATCTTACAGATTTGTTTCTAAAAGTTCCTTGTGCCAGAAAAGTCACCTCAGATATACCTATTTGGCTCCCTACTCTCCTTCAAATATTTGCTCAGATCTTATCTCCGTAATGAATGCCACCCTGAGCTTCCCTTTGAATACCACCATCTGCCCAGCACTCAGGATTTCCCTTCTGTTACTCTATTTTTTCATTTTGTTGCATAGCACTTATCATCCTCTAAGTACCATAGAACATCCTTTTTTGCTATTGTGTTTATTGTTGTTATCCATCTCCCCTGGTGATCTTTGTCTTGTCCATGAGGACTCTTTGTTAGTCTGATTCACAAATGAATTTTAAGTATCTGGAGCAGTGCCTGACCACCTCATAAGTCTATAATTAAATATTTGTTGAATGATTTCAAGGAGTTTTCAACTGTACACTTTAGGTGGGTATTCATATGAATATAGAGGAAATATACAGACCCATAAAAACAATTATATATCATTAGGCATAACATAAGTACTAAGAGTGAATTATTATTATTTTCAAAGTGGAGAAAAGTATCTAATAGGATTGTAATATCAAAAAGGGAAGAATGAGCATTTTACAAGCATCATACAGATTACAGAAAGTATAGTCTATACTTCCAAAGATAATGAAACAAACATTGAAATCTGGCTTAAATATTAAAATGCAAACACACTTTCAAAGTCTAAAATTAAAGGTATGATTACAAAGTAAACAGATTAATTTCATATGTAATGTGCACAATTTTTAAAAAACATTTTGTGTATTTTTAGAGAGAGGAGAAGGGAGGGAGGAAGAGAGGGAGAGAAACATCAATGTGTGGTTGCCTCTTGAGCATTCCTCATGGGGGAACTGGCCTGCAACTCAGGCATGTGCCCTGACTGGGAATAGAACTAGTGACCCTTTGGTTTGCAGGTTTGCAGTCAGTCCACTGAGCTACACCAGCCAGGGTGCAATGTGCACAGTTTTAAGGTGTTGCAGTGAACTACCAAAATTATGCAGTATGATTTTGCATTATAATTTTGAAGATAGTATACATTGAACAGTCTATTATCACAATCTAAGTCAAGAAGGATGCTCTGAATTCTTAATACACCTTTTCTCTGTTCACTACCACCAAACATCTCTTTCTATTACCGAAGATCCTGTGTGGGATTTTTCTCCAGTTACCATTCTTCTTCCTGATCTTCTAGTTATATATTGGTGGACTTGTTGAGTATCAACTTTTTCTCTGTCTTATGAGCTTCATCTGCTCTAAACGCCTGAATTTGAAAGAGGGGAGTTTTGGTTAGTTTGTATCCCATTATATTTTCTATATGAAGTGTTCTTACCTGCATAGAAGAATATGACAGCAACAGATGGTAAGATTCATTTTTGGAATATGTAAATTGAAATGAGCTTTTAAAACTTCCTGGGGGATCTTTATGTGGCAAGGGGCTTTCTTCTTTAGAATTTTGAAATATAACAACAGGCACCCTAGATTTTTCAGTCGGTGTGAATTTTAGAGACACATATGCATCCAGCTGTGATGTTGTCTCTTGGATGACAGATTTTAGTGCTTGAAACTGTTCTTCATAATGTTCAGTTCTCATATTTTTATCAGCTCTGGTCTAAAAAAGAATAACAAAGTGTTGTTAACACAGATAAAAAACCTTAATTATTGGAAAGGCAGGAGAGCTTTTAAAGGAGGTAGAGTGAAGGCCCTGAGAAGAGGCTGCAGGGGTTCAAATCCAGGCCCCCGACCTGGAGGGCATTACCTCTGTATGTGGAGGCTGGTTCCCACTCTGTGAAACGGGGCTGCTCACCAACCGAGCCCAGAGGTGGTTGTGAGGAGTCAATGAGATAATACAGATGAAGGGTAGAACATAGCCAGCTTTCAAAAGTTAATATATTCATAATTAAAGAGCAAGTGGTGAAACAGATGCACAATATACTTCCACTTGTATGAAAACAGAGAAAGTGAATAAAGCTAACCCTTCTGGCTGGTGCTTGGGCCAGGAACTTGTTTGTGTATTTCACACATGTTAATTAAATTAAGTAGAGAGGCCTGGACTTCGGCCTTGAACTGCCTCTTAACCTTTACACTCTACTGTCTGTAAAAATAAAAACAAAACAAAATAAAAAAGAAACAACTACATACATGCAGAGAAAATTACTGGAAACATAGACAAACCACAGAGAATGTTTGCCCTTGAGCAGGGGGACTATGAAATGAGAATGTAGAGTGGAAACATTTTTTCTTTGTGTAATCTGTTGTGCTGTTGGGACTTTAAAATCCACCCCCCAACGTTCATTTTTGCATGAACAAAAGAACTGAACTAATAACCTAGTTGAAAAGTAAAACTTTCAATGAAAGCATTCCTTGCCAAGTTGGCTATTGTCAGGTGTCCATGGGAGGGCTGTTGGTCTCCACAGTGAAGCTGCGCCCAGAGGTCCTCTGAAGGCAGCTGTGATGCTGGGAAGGGGACATGACCTTCACCAAGGGCATAGGCCAGACTTCGTGGCCCACGCTGAATGATTGTTCTGCATAGGGAAGGAACGCTATGGCCTGAATGTTTATGCATCCATCCTCCTGAGACCTGTCTGTTAAAATCCTACTACAAAATGGGATAATATTAGGAGTGGGCGGGGCTTAGGGAGAAGCTTGCATGGGTGAGATTAGTGCTCTATTAAAAGCAACCCCGCCGAACCCCCTACCTCCTTCCACGTGCGAGCACCAGGAGGTCTGTGTTCTAACGTGATCCTGCTAGCACTCTTATCTCAGAGTTCCAGTCTTCATGATTGTGAGAAATAAATTTTTGTTGTTTCTAAGTTACCTCATCTCTGGTATTTTGTTATAGCAGCCTGAACAGCTGAAGACAGGAAACCTAAAGTTACTATCTAATGGGAAAGACAAAAATGCATCTAAGTTTCTTTACAGAAAGGCATGCTGGGAAAAGGGTTCAAAGTAAAGGGGAAGAAGAGGAACCTAACCGACTCACTTCCTTGCTTAAAAGATTTCCAAGTCTTCCCACTGCCTAGAAGATAAAGTCTAAAATAGACTTATTCCAAGTTAGCTCTCTCTTGATTGTACTCAAGCCCTCTGGTCACCTATCCACCTTTACAAACTGTGCTGCTTCCCATCACAGGGCCCTTTTATGCTTTCTGGAATGTTCTCTGACACCCCCTCCCACCCTCCCAGAATGCAAACATTGTATATATACACTGATGCACATTCGCTCACACACTTGCACACGTGCATATCATTTCCCTCCGCCCGGTTAATCTTACTCCTATTTCAAGTATTAACTTAAACATCAGGGAGGCCTCTCCTGATCCCACAGACTAACAAATCCATTTTCTGTAAGCTCTTATGGCTCTTCATTCGCAATAAGACAAGATGAAAGACCTTCCCCTGCTAAAATTGCTCATTTGAATAGGGGTTCAGATGGTAGACTTCGTGAAGTCAAGGGCCCTGGCTGTCTTGTTCACATGCTGCTATAGTGTCACCATTAAGTAAATTGCTTGTCATATAGTAGATGCTAATAAAAAAAGTATTCAATTTAATAATCAGATCCAATATAACTAATGATAATAACTAATATTTATTGGGTGCAAACAAGCCCGACTGTTTACTCTCTGAGATCATAATGGATTGGAATGGAAGTGGTACCAGCAGTAGTAGCACCAAGGACTCTATCTGGGGACTCTAGCAAACAGCTCCATCACACTCTTCCTCGGACGGCACCAAATAAACATTTAGGCCCACAGTCCCTGTCTGCTTTTTGTCTAACCTTGATGCCAAAGCTCATTTGAAGGCATTGATCTGATCTGAACTTATAAATCACTAATTACAGTCTTTATTCTTCCCACTTTGTGTGAACATGGGCTCCTTCTGCTGCAGAAGCATTGGCGTGTTTGGTTATGGGATGCTTCTCCTAACTCTACTGGGCGTGTAAGTGGCATACATGGAAAATACCACATCTCCTCTGTAGAATTCAAGACATTTGAAATGAGGAAGCACATCTGTGCCCAGAGTTGTAGGTAAGAAAACACAGGGGGCTCACTCTCTAAATGTAGCTTCAAGAGCCATCCCAGGCAGCTCTCCAGCCTGTAGCAGTTCCTACACCCATAGAGAAGCTACGAGTTTGGTCACAAAGAGTAAGATAGGAAAACTGTATGCTGTACACCTGAGAACTAAAGACAAGCTAAAACAGCACAAGAAGGACCCTTCTTCCATCAGCAATCACAAGGGTCACCTTTTCTTTGTTATACTGTTTTAAAGAAAGGACATGTGTAATGCTTTCTAGAAAGATTATCAGTTTTCCCTCAAAAAATGTGCTTAAAGTAAATAAATCTGGCAAGATGAGGAAAGATCATAATTTAGAACATTCCCTGATATTTCTGGGCAGGTGATTCTCTTGTGAATTTACAGGTGCAAAAAATATGACAATGTGGTCACATGGGAGAAAACTGCCAAATAGTCCAAATGACTATCTTTAGTGTTTGTGGGAGAACATGATCATTTCAGGCTGCAGTGGGTAGGGGTTGGTTTCCCACATTGCTAGAAATAAAAGGAATATTAACTATGCTTATTTAAAAGTATATGTGTTTCTCAAACTTATGGGAGTAACGACAATACAAAAGGACTGTGTCGTCAACACAGTCTCTGGGACAAAGGAGTTAATGGGACACTTTAAAGAAATAGATTATTTTAGCTCCTGGTTTAGAATAAGCTAATCATTAGTCTTTATTATATCTTGCTTGGACCAAGGAAGGCATTTGTAAAGGTGACAAATATTAATCCTTTACATGGGTCCAGTTCGTAGATGGTTCTAGAAAATTCAGGCGACTTTCAGGCAGGTGGTAAGTTGGGGTGGCCCTGTGAGAATAAAACTCACTTGGAGAAATAGTTTCATAAGAGCTGGGGGTTTGAGGTGAGTGAAAGTAGCCACTCACATTTGTCAGACAAGCTTTACAAAGGGCAGTGTTGAAGGGAAATGTGTAAAATTTTCATTGATAGGCTAGCGAGCACTGACCTCACATAGCACGAAAGTAGTGTACTTGATACTTAAATCAGCACCAATGAAATGTTTAGTTTTATCAGAACCTTAGAAGATTCTTTTAAGGACTCTAGGTATTTTCCAAAACTCTACCACTAGGCAGGTGCATGTTGCTGAGGGTTGCTTGTGGACTACTGTATGTTTTCTAAAGAGATCCACATTATACCTCCTCTTCTTTCAGTCAGTCTTATATCCCCATTATTGAACTTTCCACCTTATGTAGCATTCAACTTATTGAAACCACTTTCAACTAAAAGTGGAACAGTGTGTTTGCTTTTGAGGAGACTTACTTCATAGATCAGAGTAGCCACGTTCCAGGGCTTGCGGTAGTAGGTCAAGGTGTTTCCATCCCGAACACGGTCACAGAGGCCATTGTAGAACTCATTGTCGAAAGGCGTGCTCAGGGGAACCATCCCTAAGACGTTGATCCTGCAAATGGACACGGGAGCATCAGGTAGGGAGATTCCAGGAGCAAGTGAGAGGCAGCCCTCTGTAGCTTGGGAAAGAGAGAGTTTCGGCTCATGTCCTTATCACCAATGCATGTGTAATATGATCAGGAACAGAGGCATGAGTCTATCCGGCTCTGCTCTGTGTCTCTGGTGGAAAGCATACCTTAGAAAGGCCTTGCAGACTCTTTGAGGTGACCAGAAGACTGGCAGGCACAATGAAAGAACTGCAATAAATGAGGAGCCAGGGCCACCTGGCACCTAGAGTCCTAACTCATTGCTGTAACTCTGAACTAACCTCCCTTAGTGAACTAAGGGCCGATGGTATAATGCCACCTATTTAAGTTATCTGAGAACACAGTACCTCAGAAGGGGGCAGTATAACACATGCATGTAATTTTTAACTTGTCAATCAACACTGGGGCTCTTTCTCTCCACTCTCTTTAAGTCTGTCTTTTTTCCTCCAGTCTTTTTTCCTCATGGCCTGCCAAGACCCTCATTCCCTCCAGGCTTATATTGTTCCTACATTTCTAAAAGGAACTCCCCAAATTTCAGCATCCTGGAAAAGCATTCTCGGAAGTTCTATTCCACCCTCCCCCCCCCCACACACACAAAGTGTTTTTACTTTGCAAGCTTTAATTAGAAATAGGGGACCTTGTTCGGCTTTCACAAGTTAAGTTTGATTTGTAGTTCTAAACAGATAAACAAGAAGCAGTTCATTCTATGTGTTCACCTTTTTTCATTGGAGGGAGCTGATGTTGTCTAGGCTGTATCTGGAATGAATGGCCCTGGGCCAGGGAGGCCAAAATGGAGGTTTGGTCCTGACGCCTGTAACTCAGTTGGACACAAAAACATAAACTCCTCCATTGCTCTAGACCACACTCCTGACTCCCAGGAGCTGGATTACAAACTCAGGCCATGATTTCAAGAGCAATTTGTCAAAGGTTGTGGATGACTTACTATAAACCCATTGCTAATAAATAACATTAGTAATAACAATAAAAGGGTACCCTATTGCCAGTGGGTTGGTTAAAAACAACCTCTTTAGATAAGCAGTGCACTCTTAATAAGCTTTGAATCTACAAAGGAAATGAACATTAGTGGGAAGCAAATTAAGAAAGTAATTTATGTATATCTTGCTCAAGGCTGACTGTATTAAATGAACCATAATTAAAATGATGGTTTGTGGATGAAAATTACATACCTATTAATTAAGGAAAACAAACAGGGCTCAGTATCAATTTTATTTCTACTTTATAAATATAGAAGTAAAAACTCCGGAACTTTACTCACATAAATAAATAGACAAGAATAGAAAAATTTTGGCAGAGCCATGTCAGTCAGTTATTTGATCTTCTGAGTTTTACGCCAAGAAAAGACCACATACTAATCTTTCATCAAAAATAATTTTTATATTCCATTATCTGACAATTAATTAGAATATCTTTAATGTTGTTGAAAAAAAAAAACCTTGAGACCACTTGACTTACAAAGTGTGAGAGTCCAACTGGGAACTAACATTTGGCGTTGTTTCTGTCTTTTCTACCCCACTGTACGGTGTGAGGTGGGGGAGGGGTGTGGTCTTCTTTTGGAAAGTGGGAGACAGGTGATTGCAAAGGGGAGGTGAGACAGGAGAGTGGGCTTGACAACTTGAAAGCCACTGAGTCATCAAGCTTATCAATTTTATGAAAAATATGTGTATATAGACTTGAGGGTTTACCATGTGTTAGATAGATTAAGGAACTGATAGTTGAGGAAACTATTATCTTAAAATGTATCAGTCTCCCTCCCCCTTGGAAAGCCTTTTTGCTGTGTGATACCCACAGCCCAGTTTGAAGGTTATTGCTTTACAGATCACCAAGTTGACCAGTTGGCTAAATCCATCTGGAAAGTTTCAATGAAGCTGATCCATGGTCTAAAGCACAACTAAGGAAGAAATGTTTCAAAACTTTTGACTTGGTTCCACTACTACAGAGACAGCCAGTCTAGTCTAGAATGAGCCAATTTTTTTTCTGCCAAGAAACATGAAACTTCTCATAGAATATCATTGCCTGGGAAATTTTTTTAAAATGTGTTTTTCGGCAGCACTTACCAATGTCTGTTTTCACACCTGCATCTAGAACCACGAGCAGCTCCATCTTACAGGTGAACTGAACAGAAAGGCCCCTCCACCTGAGTGTTGTTAGGCCTGGATTATACCCAAAAAGTCATTTCTTGCATATCGTACACCATTTGCAGCTGGTTTGGGTATGTGTTTTCTTCAGTGAATTCGAGATGCATTGGGGATTTCCCTAAACATTTCTGGAGAATCTCAGATGTCTACGAGGTGTGAGGCTGAAACATTTGTGATAAATGTGAATTCTCCCAGCATAAGAATTTAAATGAGAGTCCCTCAAAAAGTAAATAAGTAAATAAATAAATCCTTCAAATGCAAAAAGAAGTGTAAATTAATTACTACGAGTACTTGTCACTTTCATGTGTACAAGAACATGATTAGATATGATTGTTGATAGCACTTGCTGAAGTTTTTTAAACTAGATGGTGGAGAAGCAGTTTATATGCATGTTGCTATGATTACTTAGGATGTTAATGTCTATTATGTCTATTTCACTATCATTCCCCAGCCTTGTGTTAGCATAATGGAGACGCGTAGTATATACACATGTAGTATTAATGGTATGGAAGAATATCATAACTATAGCAAAGCATGTTATTTGGAAACCTACTCTTAAATATTAATTACTAATTTATATACTCTTCTATAGTCTTAATTCAAATAGGTGAAAAGTGCTCCTTGAGTTTCATTTTCTAAAGTTAGTTTTGCTTTGAAGTTAGGGTGTCCACTGTGCACTGTGCAGTGATGTGAGAGAGGTGATGAAGTAGTAACTGGCAAGTGGGAGGAAGAAAAAGGTATGTGGCATGGTAGAAAAAATATATAAGGTTATGTAAGTCAGAGACACTTGGGTTTATGTTCCCTGTCACCAACCCTGACTGTGGAAAAGCACGAGGTATTTACAGAGCTCTCGCCAGCTCTCTGGGACTCCTCGGTAATGAACTCCCTGGCAAACTCTACATAACAAATTTTCTTTTCCCTGAACAAAGGAAACCCCAAAATTATAAATAATTGTTTTTCAGCTAAATGGGCCAAGATTTCTGTATCCCTTTTCTATAAGAAACCATGTAAATTTGCATTAAGTGAGAATATGTAACATATGTCATTCCCTGCCTCCAGCCCTTTTGTTTAGATTAGGAAGAAAACTGTTTCTTGGATCCCAAATAAAGCAAAATAAAGTAATACCGGGCTTTTTCCATTCCCACTCTCTCCCTGGGGACAGCAGTAAGAAGAGTCAGAACGCATTGGAGCAGGCAGTGATCTGGTTATACGGTTTCGGCCAACTCCCGTACCATTTCTGCCAATTATTAGGAGGGCCTGCTGAGTCTGGAAGCCAAGCTCATCCACTTGATTCAAAATTCCTACCTTTGGGCTTAGGGCCAAAGGCGCTGTGTGTAATATTTGGATGCTGCTTGCTTGGGAAGATTTTATAAAGTGAATAAAAGATGTATGAAATGCTTTATGCAGTGCCTGGCTCTTGGCATTTGGTGCCCTAGAGTTTTTCTCTTCTGTGATTGAAGCGGGTGCTTCCTCTGACAGAGAGGATATTTTCATTTTTACAGGGGTCTTAGGAACTGTCCAGTTTCTTAGTGGAGGGTTTCTTAGCCTCAGTGCCCTTCACATTTTGCGGCAGGCCGTCCTGTGCATTGTAGGCCCTCTCACCACCAGATATCACCCTCCAAGTCTCCTATGCCAACACCCCAGAGCGGTCATCACCAGATCAAGTGGATGACCACCAAAACAGTCTTCAGACATCACCAAATATCCCCTGGGAGAATGTCCCCTCTGGTTGAGAACCTCTATCAACCTTGCTCTTACTGTCACCCTCAGCTCCTTTCCTCATCCCCAGGACAGGAGTACTGAACAGGAATGTCTTTCTAGAGACCCAGCTACAGACTTACCTGATGCCAGGCAATAATATTTTCGAAAGCACCTATACTCATTAATTTATTCACCTATTTATCTGCCCGTCAGTATTTGTTAAGCTCCTGCTATAAACCAGGCACTGGGATTATGAGGATGAAGAGCCACGTTGCTTTCAGGGGGTGGAACAGAGCCATGTGCTGTTTCTGTCAACATACTGCTGGGCGGGGAACATTTATGTCTCTGTTGGGGATGGTTTGCCAACAAAGCCACCCAAGGTATCTTTTCTGCTCAGAACAATGAATGGAGATGATGCTGTGGAGATCCGTGGGATGTCCTCTGACTACAGGGAACAGAACTGTCTAGGACTTCGGTCCTGGGTCATTTTGCCAACTCCTAGAGCGCACATTTCTGCAAACAGTATCTATTCTGTATAGCTCTGAGTTCTAAACTGTCTGAGACTTTTCATCAGAGCTTACCTGGCCAGATGTTTTGTGTGGAAAGTGTGAAACCTCAGCTCTGTGATGGGAACCACAGTCTCAGCGATATCCCCAGCTGTCCTCAGAAGGGCTTTCTCTGTCCTTCTCCTCTGGGGTCAACTCCAGAATGCTAGAACCCTCTCAGATCTTCTACCCAGGGATAGATGCAGGAGAAGTTCCAAGGGAAGACAATCTTCCTGGCCATTCAGACATTTGAATGGAATTGCAAGACCTACTAGTGGCAATTCAATTTTCAGTGGTAACGTGTGATTTCAACACTGCTATGGTCTTCTAGAGGCTCATAAATGAGGTATTTCATTTTCTTCGGTACTCAGAAGAGTACAGAAGAAATAGTCTAGCACATTTTACGGACACCTACTAAGGGGTTAGACAGTTTGTCTAAATTATCTTTGTATTTTATAGTTATTCAGAATTAACCCTCTTTAAGCTCAAACATAATTCAAGCAGAATACAGACCCACAGGCTACTCTTTCTACTAATTCAGACCCTGTACCACTTTAGTGCGGCGAGAGAGAGAGAGAGAGAGAGAGAGAGAGAGAGAGAGAGAGAGATTATTTTCACTCGTCTTCCTCTAGAACACTCAGGCGGAATACTGACCCAAAGCCAGCTGTCCGTGCCAGCTCGGACTCTTCCACCACTCTGTCACGGCAGGGTTTATGGGGGTCATTTTCACAGTTGTCCTCATCTGAATAGTCTCCACAGTCATTATCGTCATTGCACAGAAGTCGCCTCTTTATGCACCTGCCTGCAATCAAGATCAGGAAGACACCGTGTGTCCAATGCCACGTTTTCTCTCTTTCAGGTTATCAAATGCAGTTGAATGCTGGACTGCAGGGCACACACATACATTTGAGTCCAAAATATACAGAGCATGTAGATGGCCCATTCGGGGGCCCCTTTCACCTTTGGAAACATGAGCGCCCAGAAGTGTGTTTTGTTTCTGCCTTTTACCCATGAAGGCACACAGAAACCCGTAACGAGTCAGAGCGCAGAGATTACCTGTTCCACATTTAAAGTCGTTTCCACAGTCCTCCTCAGCGTCCTCACAGTTCTCGGTGGGCACACACAGCCGTCTGTCTCCCAGATTGGCCAAGCATTTTTTCCCATTAAATTGTCCAAAGGCCTCAATCGTCCTGGAGCGAAACTATACAAAACCAGCTGGAAATGTTAGAAGTTCTAAACCCAAAAGAGATTATGATCTAAAACTGTGTGCAAGCCACCCCAGCCCTCCAAACCCACACAGTGTTAAGCTGGGAGCCACGAAAGCAGTCACTAATGTTACTCAAAGGCACACCTCCCATTCTAGGCCAGTGGTGTCTTCTGGAGAGGATGGTTCCTCATGAGACTCATTTAGTACGCATGCAAAATTACTCAGCAAGTGATCCCTACTAGATGTTTATTTTTTCTTCTCAGTTTGCAATTGGTTGGAGGCTCCCTGCCTGACAGCATTTCCCCTGGGGAGGCTTGGCAATACGGTTTCCATCTGGGGATGTCAGCAGGGAATAGCGTTGAATGCTTACCGACTGTTTCAGGCAGGGGTCACACCGCGACCATTCACTCCAGGGGCTCAGTTTGCAGTCTATGGGCAGTGGAGTGACAGTCCCATTTTTTGGCTTTCTGACAGAACTGAGATAAGAGAACATGTCAACTTATAGTGACCATCGTGTGTGCATTTCTCAGTTAAATTTACTGTCTTTTCCCTTTCCAAATCATGCCACTGGCATTTTTATTCTCTCTCTCATTACTTTATCTCTTTATCATGTACCATTTTGTAATTTCAACTAATTTTTGTTTAATTTTTGTACTGAATTGTAATTTAACTTTCAACCCAACAACAACCAAAAATAAGGGTGATGAGGAAAGCTAGCTGAGCATCTTGCTTGGTGTCTCACAATGATTAGCCTTATATTTTAAGTGGGTTTATGAATACACCGAAGCGACAAACCTTGTTTCATTTTGCACTGCACTCCCCACTGCCTTCCTCTGTCTGCAGCTGACAGTCTGGCAAAGCCTGGAGTTGCCTGAGTCTCCTGCAAATTTAAGCCAGCTGGGTCTCCAGCTGGCTTAGTCATTCCAGAAGCAAGGGCCTTATCAACCAGGCGTTCCCACCCCTGCATTCTGCATTTCCTAAACTGGAAGCCCTACCACTTCATATTCCACTTCAGGACTCATTTCTCATCTTTCTGCATGTTAACACATATGTTTCGGCACTTAACAACTTTCCCTTCCTTTCCCAGACCCAATGCTTGGCAGTGCTTTTCTGGCTTTGAACTTTTCTTTCTTGTTTGGTTCACCATTTGGATCTCTACTGGTTGCAACACCACCTCTCTCTCTCATTCAATAATGGGGGGGAGAGGCCAAAACAGAAGCTACCAAACAAGATTCTATCGATCTCCTGTGCCCACATCCCTGAGCTGGCATCTCATCTTTGTGCGGTACAGCCTCTTAGTCCAGGGGGCTGACCAGGTAAAACTGACCACTCCACACAAGCCCTAGACCCCAGCTCCTCACTGAGACCTTGACTCATTGAATATCTTCTCCACTTAAAACTCTCCCTCATTTCTAACTCCTTTCCATTTGCAATAAATTGTGTTCCAGCCTTTGACATTAAACATAAACAAGCAGATGAGTGAGCACATGAAACACTCTTCCTGAACTTTACATTTTCTTTCAGCTACCCTCACCTCCCTTCACAGGGATGCTTAAAGAAATTGCCATAAACATATTTATGTTTCTCTCTCAATCAAAATGAAAATAGTTTCATCTCCTCCTTCGGCCATACATGGTCTTTTAGCTACCTCCCCAATCCTCTCATCTTCTTATCCACCTTTCTGGGAAAAGCAGGTGCACCCTGGTCTCTTGTGCCTTCTCCCCACCACAGCTCCACCCTCCTGCCTCAAGGATACTGTTTTTGCCAAAGTCAAGGATGACTTTCAGGGGGCTCACCTGGTTCCCTTCAGTCCTTATCTTGTTGACTTCTTCCCAGAGGTCAATGTAATTGACCACTCTTGCTGTTTAAAAGACCCACTTCCCTCGGATGAATGGTCCCGGACTCCTTTCATTTCTCCTTTCTCCTCTGCCCTCTTTTCTAGCTCTTCTATGCAGGCTCTTCCTCCTTTGATAGTCTCTGAAAAGTTGTTTTTCCTCAAAGTCCTGTGATTGAATTTTTTTCTTTCCACACTTATGTCCGTGTATATGCTAATGACACTTAGAGATATGTCTGCAGTTCAGACATCTTTTCTGAATTTTAGACTCTTGGACGTAACTCCCAATTGAACATCTGCACTTGAATGTCTTTGTGGCTCAAAGAGCTCAGTGGATTCCAAAACAAACTATTTTTTTACTTCTCTCAAAGCTGCTCCTCCCCTGCATTTATTGTCTTGGTAAACAGCACTTCCATTTGTGCAGTCATGCTAACGAGAGACTTGGGTGTCACTTGTGTTTTCCTGAATATCCCAGGCTCGTCTCCCATAGCTAATCAACCACTAAAGCCTGTGGTTTACAGTCTCCTGAATGGTTGTCAAATCTATCCTTTCTTCATCTCATCTAGTGTGGACATTTCTCTGGTCTCCACTCACATTACATCTCTCCTACACAACATAAATTTCCTTCTAATCCAGTTTCCAGAACACATCCAGAGAGATTTTTAAAAAAATGCAAAGTCAATCGTATCATTCCACTACTGAAAACCTTTCAGTGACTTTCCTTTGCTTTTAGGATAAAGTTCAAATTTCCCGACACAGTGTGATAGGCAGAGTAATGACCCCACGGTGTCCTAATCCCTAGAATTTGTGAATATGTTGCTTTACACAGAGGAGGAACTTTGCAGATGTGAGTAAGAGGAGATTATCCTGTACTATTTGGGTGGGCCCATTCCAAACATGTGAGCTCGGAAGCAGAAGACTGGTCCAGAGGGCTGTGACGACAGAAGAAGAGGCAGGCAAAACTTGAAGCAAGAGAAGCAACTGCACTGTTTCTGGCTCTGAAGAGGGATGGGGACCACGAGCCAAGTCATAGAGGCAGCTTCTAAGAGCTGGAAGAAGCAAGAAGATGAATTCTTCCCAAGAGCCTCCTGAAAGAAGCACAGCCCTGCTGGCACCTGGAATTTAGTCCAGTGAGACCCATTTCAGACTTCTGACTAATAGAATTGTAAGATAATACATTTGTGTTTTTTTAAGTCACTAATATGTGCTAATCTGTTACAGCTGCAATAGGAAAATAAGACATGTGGTCTACAGCAGGGGTCCCCAAATTCCAGGCTATGGACCATACTGGTCTGTGGCCTGGTGGGCACCGGGCTGCACAGCCCAAGGTGAACTTGAATGTAATGCACTTGATTAATCTCCAAACCATTCTCTCCTCACCCTCCCTCCTGCCGCCCACCTGTGGAAAAACTGTCTTCCGCAAAACCAGTTCTTGGTGCAAAAAATGTCAGGGACTGCTGGTCCAGAGAACTGTACATGGCTGTATCTCCTTAATTCTTCAACTTCATGTTTCTCCATTGAATTTCCAGCTCCAATGAACTTGACATTTCCAAGATAAGCTACTTTTTATCATATCTTCGGCCTTTAAAAGGTCTTTTAAAAAAAGATTTTATTTATTTTTAGAGAGAGGAAAGGAGGGAGAGAGGAAGAGAGGGAGAGAAATATCACTGTGTGGTTGCCTCTCGCATGCCCCCTACTGGGGACCTGGCCCACAAGCCAGGCATGTTCCCTGACTGGGAATCAAACCTGAGACCCTTTGGTTTGCAGGCACTCAATCCACTGTTTCATACCAGTCATAGTCATGGCTAAACCTATTATTTCTGATTTCCCATACTAATGTCATCTTGGACATACATTTTTTCCCTCTGAGAACCTTCTATAACTTCCAGTATAATTTACTGTGTATGTATTCTTATAGCATTTTGTTTTTCTCTATATCGTAAGCTCTTTCATAATGATATATGCACATGGGTCTGTCCAAAAGGTATCCAGCCATGTTTTATGAAAAATAGGGACATATTTCAAGGAAGACACAAGACACAAGAAACATTGTACATAAGACCATGATGCCTCAGTTCACTTCAAAGTAGGTACTTAGGGACCTCACATAGTTCTCCCATTTGCCATTAATTGCCCCATTGTATTTTCCTGAATCTCATGGATGGGCTAAATCTCTTCCCTTTCAAAGGTGATTTTGGTTGTGGAAAAGCCAGAAGTCGCAGGGCATGAAATCTGGACTGTAGAGGGCTGAGTCACCTGGGTAACCTCATGTCTCTCCAGAAACCTCTCAGCCAGACGTTATGCTTGAGTGGGCGTGTTGTTGTGATGAAGCTGCCAATCACTGGTTGCCCATAACTGTGGCCTTCTGAGTCATCCAAATAGTTTCCATGGAGGAATGTTCAAGTTTAATGCAAATTTTGATGCAGATTCACAGTCATTTTGAATGCAATGGCCACACAGTGCACATGCTCGCTCAACAGTGTCTACTGCCCCCCACTGACTAGTACAGTGAAGTCATCACTGTTCACACATGCACATTCCAGTCCACTCTCCTTGGCTGCCAGGTTACACTGATGTTACACAAACTGTTCTCGTTATATTAACAATGGCTGGACTTATTTTGGAGACCTCATATTATCATTTAATTAATTTATTTTCACTCATTTATTCAGTCATTTATTGATTCAGCAAATATTTATTGTCTGCAACTTGCTGGGCATCAAAGATACAATGGTGTGCAAAACAGCAAAATAAGATTAAACAAAATTCACAATCCTCAAACTAACAGAGCTCATGTTCTAGAAAAAATATTAGGGAGTTAGGGAACTTTTAAATCTTGTTCAGATTGCATATATCAACTGCCTAGAATGTAGTAAGTGCTCAGTAAATTTCTTTAAGCAAATCAATGAACTTCAAGAAAGGGAAATCCTTCATCATTTTGTCTTGGATAGTCTTTTATTTCTCTAGGTTATGCTCACGGTGAACCACCGTGAACTACCCACCTGTATTTATGAAAAAATTGCTTGTCATTAAGGTTGGCTCTATGATTGGAGACAACTTTTCTGTAAGCCTGACACTTGCCTACACCATCCAGAATATTGGAAGTCCTGAAAGCATCAATCCTTTAAAAATACAGATTAAAATATATTACACAGGTTGCCAAAACTCCTTGAAGAACTTGCTTTCCAGGAAGTCTGATTATTGGTGTATGTCTGAAACCCCATGACTGAGAAATTATCTGCTAGAATTTTCCACAAAACTAAGGTGGCCTCTAGAACTGACAGGCCTCATCAAGGGGCACTGGCAGAATCCCCTGTGTGACCTATAGCACTGGTTTTCAATATTGGTAGCATTTTATATTCCTCAATATTAAACACAGGGATTATAAAATTGTGATCCTTACTCCAAATCAATTAAATCAGGCCTACTGAGGACCAGCTCTAGGCAGCAAAGTTTTTAAAAGGTATGGCAGGTGATTCCCATGTTCACACAATGGTGAGAAGCACCAGCTGGCAATACCCACACTATCTGATGGGGTGTTATTCAAGTGGGAGTGTTCATTACATGAAAATAACCTAAGACTGAGGCCACCAATGAGCTGGACCACAGTCATTTTCAGGAATTACTCTAGGCCAGGGGTGACAAACTCATTTTCACCGGGGGCCACATCAGCCTCACAGTTGCCTTCAAAGGGCCGAATGTAATTTTAGGACTGTGTACATGTAACTGCTCCTTAATAGTTCAGTGAGAGCTCGGCACTGCCGCCGGGTAGAAACACGGTGCTGGGCCTTGTGTTTGCCACCTGTGCTCTAGGTTCTACCTATTAATGTCTCTGTAGGGTTTTTCAATATCTTCTCATTTCTTCAGTACTAGTGTTGTTGCCTTCAAGTGGGTTATCTCCTTCTGTCTTTTTTGTATTCATTACTTAGTTAGATGGTTGTATTATCCTTTTGTTTTAGCATCTTCCTATGTCTTCACCTGGGCTTTCCTCTGCATGTGTCTGTGTTCAGATTTACTTTTCTTATGTCTTATACACGTACATGACTATTGGATTAGAGCCCATTCTAGAGACCCCATTGACCCCATTTTAACTTTATAACCACTTTAAAGACCCTATCTCCAAATATAGTCACCTTCTGAAGTACTAAGGAGTAGGACTTTAACATGTGAATTTGTTGAGGGAAGGACACAATTCAACCCATAACACTCAGTGCATATTTTTTGAAGCCTTGTCTGGTGGGGCTCAGTGGATTCAGTGCTGGCTTGAGAACCAAAGTGTTGTTGGTTCAATTCCCAGTCAGGGTACATGCCTGGGTTGCAGGCCAGGTCCCCAGTAGGGGGCGCACAAAGGCAACCACACATCAATGTTTCTCTCCCTCTCTTTCTCCCTCCCTTCTTCTCTCTGTAAAAATAAATAAATATAATTTTGTAAAAAATATTTTTGATAAAGCTATTTCTTATATTTGTTTACTAGTTTTACTGGATAAATTTCAAAGTTTATTTTCTCATTAAATCTTTATACCATTGAGGATATTAGTTATGCTTTACAGATGGAAGACTAAACCTAGAAAATTATAGTACTTGTCCGAAGCCAGACAGTTAACGGCAGAGGAGGATTTAGAATCTTCATCTCTGCACTTGTAGTTCACTGCAATTTTGCCCAGTCCCTGTGTTGTCTTTTCTTCTCCCTCAACTTATTCATAATCTCTTTGAAATAATCTATAAAGTCATAGCTTACTCAATAATTTGTGGATGGAATAGTCTCACCATTTTACCATTTTTAGACATTTTGAGATAATGAGGACAGTTGAGTAAATAAGGATTTCTTTTTTAAAGTATACTGGCTCCAGGAAAAGCACATCTATTGGTCAACCTCATTCTTGCCTGGATGTGTTTTAAGCTTGTATCTAAATGATGTCAAGTAGGCAAAAATAACTGAAAATTTATTTCACCTGGCTGTTTTGCCTTCATTGCATGAGGTACCTGGATACTTAGAGTTAAAATAAAGGCAGGACTTGAGGACGTTATTAGGAGGAAATGAAAGACTATGCAAAAGAAACATGTCGCACTGCATGAATGTAAGAAAAAAGATGAGTGATCTTGCATAGCTTATTGTGAACCCTGCACGCCCCTCCCTAGCCCCCGGGGACTCACTGTGCAGATAACCTTCAGAGCTCGAGGACTGCACACATGCACACTCACCATCTGCCTCTCACTATGCTGAGCTGTTAGACTGAGTGGAGAAGCATTTGTAAACCACTTTCTGGATTCTTAGATGAAATGTGTTTATCAAGTGAAACCTGTCTCCAAGTGTTTCAAACTCAGCTTGATAGTCACTTCCTAGATCAAAGTGAGGTACATCAGCACGACAGGAAGTGCTACTCTGGGCCCGAAATGCACTCAATAAAGGACATATGATATATACCTAGTCCCATCCTCTCGCCATGAAGTTTCTCACTTTAGAGAAAGAAAACCTCAGGAGCAGCTCACACTCCAGGATGCTTGGTTGTAGGCAGGAAATCACCTGCTGTAAGAAGGATGCTGATTGTCAATATATAAGACAATGTGACTCCTTTGAGCAGAGAAATTTAGGACTGCACTCTTGACCCATAGATCTACCAGTTTGTCTTGTTCATGTAATTCATCAAGATGAAAATAGCAGTGTCTACACTTTAATTTTTCTCAGGACCTCTCTCAATTTCCCAAGTCTCGGTTAAGAGCCAGTGTTCAAAACCATCACAGAGGGTCTGCTCTGTGTCATGAACTGTCCCGGTGGCTGGGGCCAAAGGCAGCACCCTTACCAGTGTGGAGCCTACATTCCAGTGTGTGAGATAGAGTGAGCATCACCAGCGAGCATCACCAGCAAGCATCACATGCAGTATCAGTTAAGACGTATGAGTTGTGAAGGAAGATAATCCAGGGCAAAAGGAGAGAGATGGTGCTGGGGCTGGGGGACGGGAGGGAGGTTTCTTATACTGGGTAGTGCAGCCTGTCAGAGGAGACATGGTGGTTTAAAATATGTTCCCGAACAAGACAGGACAAACAAAAACTCATAGACACATACAACAATATGGTGATTACGACAGGGAAGGAGAGGTGGGGGTAGTAAAGGATAAAGAGGGTCAAAAAATGGTGATGAAAGGAGATTTGACTTTGGGTGGTGGGCACACAGTGCAATATACTGATCATGTATCATAGAACTGTACCCTTGAAACCTATATAATTTTATTAACCAATTTCATCCCAATAAATTTAATTAAAAATATGCTCACAAATTCTTTGCCATCGTGCCCATCAAAGTTGGGGTCAATGTGCCCCTTTCTTGAAGCGGACGGGGTCTTTGTCGGTGCCTTGACTGGCAGAGTGCAGTGGAAGCAAGCCTACGTGATGTTTAAAGTGAGGTTAGAAAGGCTGTCCTGGTGCCACTCATTCATCTAAAGACTCTGGAGCTCAAAGCCTTTCTGTACTATGCACGAGTCTGCATGTGCGCACACACACACACACACACACACACACACTGTGAGATAAAGATAGGAGAGATGCCTGAGGAGAATCGATTGCTCCAACCCTCAGCTGTGTGGGTCTTTCCAGAG